TATATATGGGTGCCGGTTATTATTATTATATTATTATTTTCGGATATTTCCTATATCTATGGAAGCCTACTTATAAATTCCCTCTGTCTTATGTTTGATATGCCCAAATTTTCCTAATCTGCTGTTTATTTAAGTCTGTTGTCTCGCACGATTTCTCTTCGGGTTCTAAGAGTGAAAAAAAATCGCCAAACACGGGGAGCGGACGTGGTAATAAGTATAAATCCAGAAACAAAAATTTTCTACGACCTTATTTCGCCTAATAAGTGCCTTTCCTCTTTTTCCCGGGGAGTACGGTATAAAATTAATTTTATTATAAATGGACTTACGTTCTCGTTGATATGCACACCAGTAGAAATAAGATTTTGAAAATCATCTCTTTTCAGCGCTCGCCGCTTGTCTCCTTGATCCTTGATCCTGTGATTATCAGCAGTTGGTGTCCTTGTCCTGTTTTCCTGCGGGTTGATGTCACCGTCGCTTGCAAAATATGACTGCTCCTGTCCTTTTTGATCGGCTTCTCGGCTCCTCGATTTTTAATCGTTGTATTCTCGTGGCACTGCACTATGTGTGCTTCTCGGCGTGCAAAAAAATTTTGACTCTCACCAAACCCCACACTTAGCACCAAAACTGTTACGTGGGAAAACCGAAAGGTAAGGAGGTGCTTCGCGAGAATGATGAAAACCTTGGAACCTCAAACACTTTTATTCAAGATACTTATTTATAAGGCAAAGGCATGTGTGTGTTCCCGATTAATTGCCCGATCTCCCCAAGTGTTCTCTTCGTACTCCTCGTCTGTCCGAGTTTTCTCTTCGTTCCCCTCGTCTGTCCGAGTTTTCTCTTCGTTCTGCTCGTCTGTTCGAGTCTTCTCTTCGTTCTCCCGATTTTGAAGCTTGCCGGGCCTTATATTACCTCGTTCCCCTTCCGTCGGTACCCTCTTGATAAGGTAGCTTCGTGGTCACCAGGGGGCGTTAGTATGATATGCCTAGCATATCGTACGTAACACTATGTAAACGCAGGCCTTATTTGAGATGCATCACTCAAAATAAAAATGAAATACAGAAATGAACATAGTAATGATTTTTAATTAAATTTTTGTAGATTCAAACATATGAGTATATAAAACAAACCTTAGTTTATTTATCTTCATCGTCACTCTCGTTAACATCATCTAAGTTAATATTTTCATTTTCTAGTAAGTTTGCAAATTTAAGTCTAAATTTGTAGTAGAGGGCAATTAATTTCATTGATCTTTCTCCTATTAGTCAATTTCTAATTTTACTATGGACAAGTGACCACCCACTAAGCAATCTTTCCAAATCTCCAGTTGATGTCGGAATGCTGAGTAGTTTTTTTGACAAGTTTGATAATTCCAGATAAAAAGGTTCAGCAGCATTCCAAAAAATCTGCCATGACTGATAGTGTTGTTGATATAATATTTGAAAAGTACCTGTTTGATCAGTGTATTCTTGCAGCTGTGCTTTGCCTTCGTGACCTTAATTTTCATTAAAAAATTGCCTGCATATTTCTGTGTAATCGGCTTTGTTTGCAAATCTGCGTTCTTTTCACTGAGAGTTCAAGAAATTTGCGGCAAGCCCGTATTTGTTAATGACTTTTTTTAACCGATCACGTATAATTCTGTCATATTGATTACACAGGTCTGCAAAGAACGGGTTTTTTTTTTTCTTTCCAATTTGATAGTCGTATCTTAAGTATTTTTGCGCACTGAATCCGAATCCGTTGGCCAAATTGCCCTATCACGTCAGAATTTTGAGCAATCCTAACCTAAAAGTGCCAAAAAGCGTATTTTTTGCGCTTTTGCGCATTGAATATCTCAAAACTATAAAATGATAATGGCAAATCGGACAACCTAAAGCGTAAAGTTTGAAAAAACTTTTTTTGTAATGCTGAAAAGAAAAAATTCTTGGCGCGAAATTGACGATTTTTATTACCATATGATATCATCGTTGCACCTCGTTTTTTAATAATTTAAATCAATCAAATTCATGTGATTGATGTTTATAAAGTCACCCATTATGAGTACATAAGGTTATGCTATAAAAATTCAAAATGGTGGATACAAATAGGCGTTTTTTTTGAAATTTGTTTCTTGTCGCTTGAAATGTATTTCATCTTTCTAATTGATTCGCAATAATAATAATAATAATAATAATAATAATAATAATAATAATGATGATGATGATGATGATGATGATGATAATAATAATAGCGATTTGGTTGGTTGAGATCATCAAATTTCATCATTTCTTTATCATCTGTCACAGTCTTCCACCGAAACGGAACCTTCAAGTTCCCAATTGACAATACTACTCTTTCGCTTATTTCTTTCTTCACTATTTTATATTAACAACCTTTAGTCTTTGTCATAAGAACACAGCACGATTTACTCAATGGAGAAAAATTCAGTGGTATATTTATGTATACCTAATGTGAACTCCATCAGTAAACCGGTTTGTAACAAAATAAGTATTGTGCTGTGTTTTTTCGTCGTTAGCAGCCAACTTCATGAGCTAAAAAACACATATGCTAAGACACTTTTACGAAAGAAGACAGTAAAATAAAATAAGTCGAAATTTGGACAAATTGAGTCATTCAAAATTAGTTTTCACTCTGATCAAAGCAGCGATGTCATCTGACAATAGCATACGAAACTGACAATTGTTGTGGTATAGCGCCTAATTGTAAAATGAATTGTGTATATACACGGTGGGCCATTTTAATCTATGCATCTAAATATTTTGCCAGAGGCGCCACCTATTAAAAAATGACCTTAACAAAAGAATGATATCTGTGTTTCTCACAGCCGGAAACAATCACTTTCTTATGTTATGAAACGCCATTTTGTGTCCACCATTTTGAATTTTCATAGCATTACTTTATGTGCTCGTAATGGGTGACTTTATTAACATTAATTACATAAATTTTATCAATTTAAATTATTAAAAAACGAGGTGCAACGATGATATCATGTGTTAATGAAAATTGTCAATTTCGTGCCAAGAAGTTTTTCTTTTCAGTATTACAAAAAAAGTTTTTTCGAATTTCACGCTTTCGGTATCGTTTTCTCTAGATTTTGGCATGCTAAAACAATCCCGTTGTCCGATTTGCCTTATCATTCCATAGTTTTGAGATATTCAACGCACAAAAGGGCAAAAAACAAGCTTTTTGGCACTTTTAGGTTAGGATTGCTCAAAATCCTGACGTGATAGGGTAATTTGGCCAACGGATTCGGATTCAGCGCGAAAAAATACTTAGGATATATAGGATATGACTATTGGACTGAAAAGAAATAAACTTTGGAGGCCTGTGTTATCAGTTATGTATGATAATTCAAGATTTAGCCATTTTTGCGTGGCACAGGCCATGTTACAGTTACTCTTTTGTCATAAATTAACTAGTTGGCATATTGGATCAAAGTTTAATAGTGCTGCTGTTAACTGCATTTTAAACTGCTCATCTAAAGTTGTCTTGATTACATTGTCATTGAAAATAAATTTATCCGCAGGCTCTTTTAATTGGTTTAATCTAATTATCTCACGTACAGCATCAAAATTTTGGAGACATCTTCGATACGAGTCTCTTTTACTGCATCAACGTGTCACTCCAGGGAGTACCATTTTTGAACCACCTAGATTTTTTAATTCAGCCTCCAAGTTTGCGGTCTTAAAATCTTTAACTATACTATCAACTTTTTTTATTAAATTCATCATCGGTTAATGATTAGAAAAGCAAGTTTCCTGAGTGACTGTTACAAGTTAAATGCCATAAATTAACTCGCCTTCCTATATTTACCATATTTTTTTTTGATTTATTTGAGGCATTACCTGTAAGTACAATTTAAAGATTTACGTTAAAATCATCAAGAGATGTAGCAATACATTCGTTAAAAATGTCACTAAGTGAGTTTACTGTTTCCCTTATTTCACTAAATTCCAGGCATCAAAAATGTATTTTTTCTATTCATTGTTCATAAAATTGCAACAATATTTTTAGTATTTGCAACAGAATTCTTTCATCCATCGATCATTAATATTCCAGTTTTTACTCTTTCTAATCGAATAGAACCCCTGTGCTCATCGTACATTCTATTTAACATTGGGCCTGACGATGTTTTTCTTGTTGGTGGTGTATAGTTTAGATTCAGAGCTCTTAATAAGTTTACAAAAAATTCTGATTAAACATTCACAAATGGAATATTGCAAGCAAAAAATTGCGTTGCAAGAGCTTCGTCAATAATCCTTTTCCTAAATGCGAAAACATTAAATGTTTAAAGCCCATTTTTACAAATTCTCAAAGAAAGAAAAATTTTTATCTTCACCTGTCAGTACCCATTTTTAATAGCAACAAATTCAATTTTTTTCCACTATAATTAAACGTCACAACTAAACATAAAGTAATTTTTAAAACTGAAGCAGACAAGTCAGTACCTCCTTAAAAAAAACAATGAAATATTAATTGACAGCCTTTAAGCTGATCTCCAGCACACTACCGAATGATGGTCAAAGGCTGTGTACGTAGAACTGAGGCATCTTGCTGTTATACTGGTTAATAGACTAATATTATTTAATTAAAAAACTTATCTTTAAAATATTAGACTTAGTCATGTAGTGTTAGTATTAATTTGTTTTTTTTTTGTTACTCAGCTATTTACCAACCGCCCTATAGTCATTCGAGTGTCGTCTGCAATAGTTTTATAAATTATATATATATTTTATACATTGTTACATTACTTACGTATGTAACGTAACATATTCAAAGTAACGTAGTAAACCCATCCCGGGACTCAGTACATAGTGTATATTAGCTGATTGTTGGATTAGTGCTTTGTGGCGCTGCTGAAAACCAAGAAAACAAGCAAAAGTTCCGAAACATCAAGTACTAGTGGGTATGGACCAAAAGCTTTACCTTGACCTTTCTTTAATATTGTGATCGAGCTCAAAAGTGTGGCCTTTCTCACCAAGTCAAATAAAGGAGGAATGGAGATGCTCTTGTGAGTGCGGGATAACTAGCGAAAATTAATCCGAAGATGAGACTCATAAGGTATTTAGTATTACAATTTTTCATATAATATAATAATAGAGTTCACTCACTTACGTGATACAAAATCTGTTACAGATATTGTTTATCAGGTCTTATTTTAAAAAAAGTTTGAAAGTTTTTGTACGTAACAGATAAAAATAGACATTACGTAACAAAATTAACAGAGTAAAATAAAACTATAAACCGTAAAATTTGTTAGATCAGCTTCAAAGGAACAAGAGTCAGTATAGTTCAAGGCACAATGGTAGTAACTAGGACCTACTTAAAATTGTTTGCTGTTTGTCATTTAAAAATACAAAACTTGAATCCCTTATTCTTATCGAATTCGTTACGTCGATAACTTTATTAGTAAATTTCATATTATACAATTTTAAGACGATCAGGGAAACTCAATTCTTTTTAAGCTTGGGTTTACAAATAAATTGTTCACTAGGTGAGCAAACGATAACAATAAGTAATTAACCCATTTTTTTTAAAGCATCGTAGTCATTGGCGATGTGTAACCCAATTGTTTTTAACATTTGCTCATAAAAACATCTATGCAACCAGCAAACATCGGTGTTGAGTCACTTAACTGATTCAAGTACTTTTTTATGATAAAATTATCAAATGGCGAGTAAGCATTGGCTCTAAGCACTCCAACTGAATTTGGTGCTTTTTGGCTTTGTGATAAAAAAAGGTATTTATTGGGCGATAAAGTGTTCCAGACTTTCCTTAGTGTGTGTCCCCTATGATTTGAAGCAATTCCGGGGCCTTAGAAATATGTTCTAAGATTTAATGTTATTTTAACATTTATACTACTAATCTAGAAATAATTAAGAACTTGATTGAATATACAATTAAGCATTTTTATGTCACTATACTCTTGGCTAAAATTAGTTTCATATCTAGCGTACAATAGTGTAGGTGGTGTTGAAGATAGTAATTCACCTGTTCGCTTCCTAACATGCAGTGAAATAATAGTATGCATCAGGCATGTTATTTAGTTCTTGATAATATTAGGAGTATTCCTAAGCCAACTGCTACCCCTTGTACACTGTACCCACACGTAGAGAAAAATATAATGAAAATTACTGTGCTAGAATAGTAATCTGGTAATGTTCGGTTGTCTAGAGACTTTTTACTATTTGAACAATAATTTTTGTTGTAAGTGCAGTAATTTTTACTGCTTGTACAATAGAAATCACTGTCCGGAAAACTATTATGCATTATCGATAGTACAAAATATCTATACAGTATCATTATAGGGACATTAAAATATAGAATTTACTTATTTAACGATGAGCTATATTCGTTGAATAGCAATAAATAGTTTTATTCATACATACAGATGCTTATGAGGCTCAAATATATGTGATAATGATTCGTACACCGAAGGAAAATCTACTACTTTCGAAAATTTTTAAATTTAATTTCATACACTATTTATCAGTAAAAATGAAAAAGTAGCTCAATTAAATCGTTTTTTTTTTTTAATTTAGTTTTGTTAAAAACATCTGTTTTAAAATACGTTTTGACAATGACCCTTTTAGGTTAAGAAAATATTTATGTGTTTCGCCACCAAATTATATATTGATAAATAAATATTTATTCACTGCAAAAAAATAAAACGTTATTTAATATTAATAAACGTTTATCAAATTTGCATGGATATTTATTAAATTACTTAGTTAATTCATTTAAATAAATGAAAACTCATTCGATCGTAAACAGATTAAATTAAAAACGTTTCAATTAAAAATGAATATATGTTCATCACCCTTTAAAAAATGTTTCTCAAAGATTAAAAAATATTTGTTTGACCTAAAGCAATAATAATTTGACTGAATGAATAATGGTAAACTCTAAATATATATGTAACAAATTTTGATAAATGTTTTTCCATTTTTCATACGCGT